CCCTATGTCCCAAAAAATAAAATGAGAAGCCACCTCCATGGCAGAAATCATAGTTTTCCAAAGTTTAGAGTCCCCCACCTTCCAATTGACCATGGAAGGGTGAAAGGTCTTGCAGTATTTATGAAGCCTAAACTTAGCTCAAAGAGACTCCACCAAAAAAAAATTAAACCATAGTTTACACATATTGATATCAATAATCTGTTGCATGTTTTTAGAACCAAGCCCACCAGCATAACAGGGCCTGCTATTGTTCTTCCAATTAGTTTAACTTTTAGAGGATCTAGAGCCCTTCCAAAGAAATTTATTGAAACTAATCTCAAGATTTTTTTGTGTGCTTTTCTTGGTTTTAAGAACTTGCATAATGTAAAGGGTTAGTGTACATAAGACACTTTTTAACAATATGAGCCACCCGCCATTAGAAAGGAAAGTACTTTTCCAATCATCAATCTTAAGTTTAATTTTATCAATCACATCATCCATCTGAGTTTGTTTCCTCCTACCTCTAAGAATGTTAACCCCAAGATACTTAATAGGAAGCTTAGAGATTTTACGACTATTGTAAGTGGAAATCCAAGCATGACTATTAAAGGAGACACTTTTGCCAAAATAAATGGAACACTTTGCCAAGTTTAACATCATACCGGAAATGCTTCGGAAGCTCTTTAAGAAACACGTGGTAGCTTTAATAGCTTGCTTGCTAGCATTTAAAAACAAGATAGTATCATTAGGATAAGCAAGATGACTCACAATGATCCTGGATTTATGTGAGTATTGAATATAAGAATGCTCAAGATGCAACTTCTTCATAAGCCTAGAGCGATAATCAAGAGAAATTATAAAAATAGTAGGAGAGAGAGAGGATCTCCTTGTTTAATGCCCCTGCTAGCAAAAAAAACCATGTGCTTTACCATTAATCATTACATCATAGCTATTATTAGAAAGCCACCTCTTAATGAGTGAGCATAAATCTGGTTGGAAGCCTTTAGCCTACAAATTGTTCATAAAAAAATCTCAGCTAATAGATATATATATATATATATATAGATATATATATATATATATATATATATATATGTATATATGTATGTGTATATATATATATATATATATATATATGTATATATATATATATATATGTATATATTTATTATAATCTCCGTACGCATTAATTATCAAGATAGGTACAAATTTTTTGTAAGGAGAGGTTCCCCAACTAAAAAGCAAAAAGAATACAAAACGCACCCATAAACGGGGATCCTCAACTTAATACAACTCCACCCAAAACAAAAGAAAAACTGCATACCAAAACCAAAAAGTATACTCACAGATTTACAAGTATACCAGCACAAAAAAAAGTATAAATCCAAAAGTATAAGAAAACTCAAACATAAGTCAAATGCAGAAAGTAAGAGAAATTGCCACTTGTGGTGGTAGGTCTCCAGAAAGGTTAACAATACATCCTAGTAGCTCTGCAAGATAATGGAAAGCAGCACAGAAAAAGCAATGGCAGAAATTCAATAAAAAGAAAACCTAGAAAAGAGTCAGAACATCCAAGTAAATAAGCCTTAGAAATATCAACAAAGAGGCCACAATAGGCACCCCCTAAAATTTCCAAAATATGTAACCCTTATTGAGAGTAGATGGTTGTCTACATGAAACACAGTAAAACAGAAAACTCTAAAGCTTCCAGATCAAACTAAAGCTACACAACAGAGGTAAGAAGAGTAGGCTAGCAAAAAATAGTAGGAGAATCAAATGATATCCGCTCGGTAAGCATCCAAAAATGTCCCCATCGTTATAAATTCTTAAGGCAATAGAATCCTCCTCAAGGCTCATCATGAACAACAGAAAGATTTCAATAGTGCACTTAGTGTAAAGAGACAAAAAATGCTTAAACAAAGTAGTGAGAAGCATATAAAACACCATCTAAAGGCTTCCAATCCTTGAGAAATTAATTCAATAGTAGTGAAAATACCTTGGGCAATGAAACCAATCAAAATAACTCCAGCACTTGTAGAAACCAAACACCAAATGCCATTCCCGTATAAGAAAAAGGAAATCTTTCTTAAAAGGTAACTTGAGTGAAAAACCTCTATAGAAACCATAAAATAAGACATGCAAAAAATTATGCATGGATGCAATATATCAGGAAAAAGATAGAAACATAAAAACCATAAGGTTAGTTATAGAAGCCCCAACAGTCAAAAAATCAAACCCAAGAGCTGATAGTAATTTCCAGCATACATATAACCGGTCAGCCACAAACAAATCTAGAAACCAAAGTCCACAGCCAAAGTAACAGTAAAGATGAGGAGGCAACCCATATAAACAAAAGCGCTAAACCCATAGATAGGGGGCATCTAATATATCATTAAATTAGAGAGTAAAGAGGGGGATGAGGAGTGTCACAAATGATAATACCATGATGCCCCTTCTTAACTAACCAATACGCAAGAGCTTTACCTTCTCTATGAGTAAAAGTATATAGGATAACAATGTGAGAAGTGGCCACTACATTTTTGACCCATTCAATAAAATTATAAAATTACAGAGGGGTTTTATCTTACCCGTTAATATATGAAACAATTGCTGGGAATTTGTTTCCATCATTATCTTTAAAAAGCAAAAATAAATTACAACATACAAAGCTGCCAAAATAGCAAATGTCTCTGTTTCCATAGGAGATGAAGCAATGCAAGGGGAGGCAAAGAAAATAAGGAACTGCCCATTTATATCCTAGAACAAGCCTCCTATCCCTTCAGCTTCCCTAGTGAAGTTGCCATCAATATTTACTTTAATCCAACCATGGGAAGGTGGTCTCCAATTTATCAAAATTGGTCTCTTACCATTTCCAGGTTGAAGTGAGATATAGCAACCACCACCAGCTTTAGAAGCTTTGAGAAAATTAGCCACAATAAGAGCAACAATATTATAAGGCGTATAGTGAGAGTCTTCATATTTATGGCTATTTCTAGCCACCCAAATGAACCACAAAACAAAAAGGAGAAAATAGAAAAGTTTATTTTGAGAATGTTCAATTTCTTTCCAAATGGCAAGGATACTTTAAAGACTTAAATTAGTAGGCCAACGTATGCCAAAATAGCATCTCAGCTATTACCAAACTTTTCTAGCAAATGTAGAACCATAAAAAAGATGAGTGAAAGATTCAACATCTTTCTTACAAACATAGCAAATGGAAGAAAGCCTCAAACCCTTCATTTTAAGAATATCATAAAGAGGCTGGAAATCATGAAAAATTTTCCAAAGAAAGAAAGAGATAAATGGGGATATAAATTGGTGCCAAATATAGTTACTTCATTTCCACTGAGTAAAGTCGTATAAATGACAGTATATCATTTTAGGGATGGATACTCTAGAATGAAATTTCCACATAAGGACATCCTTAGTATCAGCATTAATAAGGATATTAGCAATTGAAGGGGCCACCTCCCCAACTAAAGACAACAATTTAGGCATATTCCAGCTGCAATCAATCCAGCAATCCAACATAAGAAGATCAGCCTTAGAAGGAGAGCGAGACAAATTTGAAAAAAGAGATGTTCCCCATTGATAATTCCAGAAAGAAATTCACCTATCCCCCACATCCCAAAAAATGAATTGACAAGCTACATTACGAGCAAGAGTAATGGCTTTCCAAATTTTAGAATCCCCATTTTTTCAGGTGAAAGTGGAAGGATGACTAGAGGTGTAGTATTTATGATGCATATATTGAGACCATAAAGAATCTCTGGCTCTAAATTTGTACTAAAGTTTGCACATGCTTATGTCAATTATATGGTGAAGGGTTCTTAACCCAAGTCCCCCAAAAGAACATGACTAACCACTCTTCTTCCAGTTAGCCCAAATTGTAGAAGGTCTATTGCCTCTCTAAAGAAACTTGTTAAAAAGAGCTTCAAGAGTTGTTTGGGTGCTCTTTTTAATTTTGAGTACCTGCATCAAATATAAAGGAAGGCTACATAACACACTTTCCATAAGAGTAAGCCTACCCCCATTAGACAAAAATGTGTTTTTCCAATCATTGATTTTGGATTTAATTTTATAAACAACCTCATCCATTTGAATTTGTTTCTTTCTCCCTTTAGAAGGTTCACTAAAGGTACTTAAGAGGTAGTGTGGTAATTTTACAACTTGTATAATTGGAAGCCCAAATTTTAATATTATGATTAACCTTGTTACCAAAGTAAATAGAGCATTTAGAATAGTTAAAGTGAAGGCCCGAAGCATCCTGAAATTCCTTCAGCTGATGCATGGTGGCTTTAATAGCAAGCTTACTATCATTAGAGAATAAGATAACATCATCAGCATAAGCAAGGTGGCTAATCACAATTTATGATTTATGAAAATATTAAAAAAGAGGATGAATTAAATGCAAATTTTTTACGAGCCTTGTGAGATAATAAAAAACAATAATAAAAATGGTAGGGGGAGAGAATCTCTTTGCTTAATGCCTCTATGTGCAAAAAAAATAGCCATAAGATTTGCCATTTGTAAGAACACTTTAATGGATATTTTCTAACCATCTTTTAATGAGTAAGAAAAAATCTCTTTTGAAGCCTTTAGCTTGAAGGATGTTAAGGATCAAGTCCCAACTGATAGTATCAAAAGCCTTCTTGATATCAAGTTTAAAAACCTTGTTACCCCCTCTGCACTTCTTATCAATAGCTTCAATCAATTCCTGAGCAAGAAATATATTATTCGTAATATCTCTACCTTTTATAAAAGTTGATTGTTGAGGAGATATAAAGTGTGAGAGATGAGGCTGTGGCATATTAACAATAATCTTACTCAACATCTTAGAGATAACTGTGGTGAGGGAGATAGGACAGAAGTTATCCCAAGTAATTTTGTCATTTCCTTTAAGAATAAGTACAATTAAATCAGAACTTAAATATTTAGTAGGATCTTCCTACGATTAAATCAGAACTTAAATATTTAGTAGGATCTTCCCTCAGAAAGAAACTTTGTATAGTAATAAGTACCTCCTTAATGATGTCCCAACATTCAACATAAAAGGAAGAAGAATAGTCATCAGGTCCAAGGGACTTGTTTGAGCTTATGGAATTGAAAGTAGAAAGAATTTCATTCTCATCCAGAACATGGGCTAAATAAAGACTATCAATGTATTCAAATTCATCAACAAAAAAATTAGAATCAACATAGTTGATCATTGGTTTATGTTGATAAAGCTCAATGAAAAAAAGCGTTGCATTATCCCCAATATCGTCCAGATCAGTTAAAATTTGACCCTCACCATTTTTAATCTTCAAGATGCTATTCATGTTCCTCCTATGCTTTAAAGTGGCATGGAAATAGTTAGTATTTCTATCACCAGTAGTAAAAAGGAGATCATTAGCTTTCTGTTGAAGTAAAATTTCCTCCATATTTATAGCTTCTAATAAAGTCAAATGAGCACGAGCAGTAGAATTCACCATATCAGGAGTACAAATATCATGAGTCTCCAACTGATCAAACATCTGTTGAGCCTCCAATACTTTATTGTGCACATTAGCAAAAACCTCGTGGTTCAACTTACAAAGATGAGAAACCAATTTTTTATGCAATTTTTAGAGAATAAGCCAAGCGGTTCCATCACCATCAAAATTCTAAACATGTTGCACAGTACTTAGGAAGGTATGATGAGAAGTCTAAATGTTAAGAAGTTTAAATCTAGATAAAGCAGGCTTATCAATAAAAGCAAGAGTGAGAAGAATAAGATTATGATCAGCGGAAGCATAGCTCAAATACTGGACTTTGGAAATAGGGTAGTAATTAAGAAAAATAGGGTTAGCCAAGAAGCGATTAAGCCTTTGTTGAAGAAATCCTCTCCTCCACGTGAAAGGAGATCCAGAGTAACCTAGATCGAGTAGACCAGCTCCTGCAATAGAATTACAAAAGCGATTAAGAAGAGAAATATCACAACTGCTACCACCTTTTTTATCAAAAGGTTTCATAATCATGTTAAAATCCCCTCCCACAAACAAGTTATCAGAGATGGAACCACCCAAAATTTATATCTTCCTCCAAAGTAAGAATTTGTCAGGCAATAAAGAGCCGGCATTTATAAAAGTGCCCCTCCCATGAAGTTGCTCCATCTAAAATGAGTTAAAACAAATTACTCCTCATATTAAATAATAGAAAAAGTATTTGTGCACTTCCAAAAGACTCAAATCTTGTTATTCCTACTGCAGTGAGACTGAAATCCTTTGAATTTATTCAAAATCCTATTTCTATTAAATGAACAAGAGGCTCCAAAATGGCAAAAATTTATATTTTATGAAACCTACAAAGATATTTAAGTCTATTAAGGGAGGAAGGGTCTGGCACTCCCCTAATATTCTAGACCATAATATTAAACGTTATGTCTTAAGCGAGCCATCCTAGAAGACCTAGAAGGCTTGCCTAATTGTTCTTCATCTGAATAATAGATACCTTCCTAAATAATATTGCTGGCATTTAAGCTTGAGAGCTCATTATTCCTTTTAACTTTCTTTTTAGCATGCTTTTGTACTTGTCATTCACTCTCAAAAGATTTTTTTGGCAAATTGAAGAGGGTCATGAGAGATTTCCTTGGATGCAGATGGAAACGAAACTTGATCACAATGTTGCCCCTGATTTTCTACCATGTTATCCCAGGTAAGATTTGCAGTAGTATAAGTAATAGGAACATTACTATTAAAAATTAAATATGGTGGAATAGATTTTGAAGTATTAGCGTTTTCCTCTCTCTCTTTATGTTGAGTGTGCACTTCTATAACATTATTAGTTAACGAAGTTTCAATAATTGGTTCAATATCTTTAAAAGGCCAGTCATCCTCCTTTTCTTATTCATTTGAAACTTAGGGATTAGGTGGTTTGATATTGTTGCTAAGAATAGGTAGTTGAGTGCCAAAAAATGCTTTAAGTTGAGGATTTAAACAATAACAATTGGAGCTATGGTGGCCAAACATAGAATAATGGGTGCTATATGGAGAATGCCTCTCAATTTCAATTGGTTGCCAATATCCCAGATGTTGAGATCCAATCCAAACCTTATCTCAAAAAGGCTAAGTGATATCCCTTTCTACTAAAACTCGAGCCTCAGAAGGTTTGATAATATTAAAAGTAGCACTATTCTTTTTTAATGGTTTACCATATGCAGCAGCAATTGAAAACAAAACTTCATTGTTAAAAAAGTGTAATTTGAGCCTAGGAAAATGAATCTAAATAGGTAAAATAGGCATTTCAACTTTAGGATCAAAGTTAATAGACTATTTAAGAAATTTCATAACACGATTTTCTATTTTCAGAGACCTTTTCGCAAACAGCCTCATATAGTCCTCATCGTCAGCTAGTTGAATCAGAATATTCCTACTATCCAACACCACAACATTACACCAACCCTTTAATTTAAGCAAATCAAACTCTTTCCTGATAAGCTTTAATTTTAGAATGTCATAATAAAATTTCCCTAGCAAAGCCAAACGACAAGAATAAGCCAAAATATTCTATTCTATACAAAAAATAAACATTGTCAATTTACCATTTTTTTCAAAGTTTCTTAACAAAAGAGTATTCTCTAAACATTGCCAATTTACCATTGTGAAATATGCTAAGGAGAGTCCCCATAAGCAGTAATGGCCTCTACTAGCAAGGAAGTGTTCACTTCCACCTGTAAGTTGGTCCTTCTGTTGAGAATAGATAACTTAATACCCCAAAACACAACAGCAATTTTAGTTTCTAAAGAGTCCAAGACTGAGATGGAGGAGTAGAAAAATAGCAATCATCTTTCAAAGTGGTCCCTGAAGACACCACCAATGCTAGCACCCTAATCTGAGAAACTACCATCAGTGTTAGCCTTTATGAAAGGGTGAGAGGGTCTTCCCCATAACACCTTAAGGACCTCAGTTTTAGGAGTGAGCCCTTGCCAAGTTAAATTACACATATTAGGTAAATTCTTCTGGGTGATTAGTTTAAGCAGGAAGTACTTTCAATTTGCTTCCACCTTATAGTTCTCAAACCTTGCTTTGTTCCTAGCCATCCAGAGGAACCATGCCAAAATAAAAGGAATGATTCCCAGATTAATCTTAGTGCAACTGTTCCAACAGCAAAGTAATTGATTTCAGTCCAATGGGTAAGTGTCAATGGACAGACAAGGAAGGAATTCACTCCACACTAATTGAGAGTATGGACTTGAAAGAAAAGATGAGTAGTAGAATCCACATCCTGTAGACATAAATAACACTTGGAGAGACCTCTCAAACCATTTAGTTCAAGGATGTCATCCACGGGTAAAAAAATGATGGAAAATTCTCCATCCCAAAAATACCATAGTTGGAGTAAGGAATTTGTTCCATAAGTAATCAACCCAAGGGACAGTCTCCCACTGATACAACTTAGCATAAATTTCTTATGTTATAGTTGGAGTGACTATGATGAGTAGCTAAAGAATCTATTCTTGAGATATCAAAAGGTAGATTTGAAATTCCTTCAGTTGAAGAAGGTGATACCAGAGTTTGCAGTACAATAGTAGACCAGCTATTTCTGCCACTTGTAGATCCAAATTAGAAATAGGATCAGGTGGATGCAGCATCTCAGCAGGGCACCATATGTCCTCACAAAAAAATGATATGAACATGTCCCAAATCCCATAAAAAGAGACTTTCAGCTTGTTGTTTGAACTTGAGGAGGCTGACCCATAATTTGGAATCACCAAGCTTCCTCTCCACCATGTTTGGGTGAATGCCCTTACGATATTTACCCAACATAAAATTGGACCAGGGTGAGTCCTGCTTTTTTAATTTAATCCATAATTTGCACAAATTAATTTTTTGTAATTGGGGAAGCTCCTTGAAGGCCAGACCTCCAACAAAAGTTGGTCTGGCAACTTTTTGCCAACTAGCTCAATGCAGCTGCTTCCTCTGACCCAACCATAAGAATCTATTAAAGCTTCTTTCTAGGTGTAGTTGAGTACTTTTCTTCATCCCAAAAATTTTTAGTATATATTGAAGGAATGTATTTAAGATACTTTTCAATAAGGAGATTCTCCCTTCATTTGATAGGAAAGAGTTTCTCCAACAGTTCAGTAGGGCATCAATTTGGGCAATTACATGGTCAAATTGCACCAATTTTACTCTTCCATTAATGAGAGGAACTCCACGTTAAAGGAAAGGAATTAAAGCAGTGTAAAATCTAGAAGCATCTTGGATCTAGTGTTTAATCTGATTCTTTGTTTTGTAGCTAAACAACAAAATGCATTTACATGTATTGAACTGGAGGCCTGAGCAGTGGTGGAAAACCTGAAGGCAATGCAACACTTGTTTGACAGCTAGTGTAGTATCTCTAAAGAACAATTTAATATCATCTGCATAAAGAAGGTGGCTTATAGGAAAATTAGATTTGTGATGAAATAAGTTGGAGGTATTGAAAGAGATTTTTCTGTCTAGAAGCCTAGAGAAATAGTCCATAACCAGAATAAATAGGGTAGGAGATAATGGATCACCTTTTTTGAGACCTCTAATTTCTATAAGAATGAAATTAGCATTATTATGAAGCCACCTGTTAATGAATTCACGGAACTTGGGAGAAAACCCCTGGCCTTAAGAATATCCAGAATAAAATGCCATTCAATTGTATCATATGCTTTCCTGACATCCAGCTTATATATCAGATTTCTACCTCTACAAGGCTTTTTAATTTCAGTGAGAAGCTCCTGGGCTAACAGAACACTGTCAGTAAGACTCCTTCCAGCAATAAAAGTAGATTGGTTGGGCCTAATGAGGTTAGCATGGTGGGGCTTCAATCTGTCCACCAAAATCTTACTGATTACCTTGCTGAACACTGTGGTAAGGAAGATATATCTAAAATGCTATCATTGGGATCTTTCAGTGGATTTGGGTATCAACTCTATGTTGGAAGCATGAATTAAATTCACTACATAAAATCATATAAATAATTTTTGAAAATAATTAAATAGAGGACATCTAATAGTTAATCTTTTTCTTCCGTCCCCCAAACGTAATGATACAGGTGGAAAGAAAAACTCTAAATATAAATCATACCTCAGTGTTTTAGGCATTTTCATCATTCTAAAATTTTGCAGTCCTTCTCAAAATTTCTACTTCACCTGGTCTGTAACATTAGGAGCTTTCTACAAATATAAATTATTAGAGAAATTGTTGGGTAAAGAAATTTTGAAATAATTACAAAACTAAAACATTAAACAAGCACAATATTCCCTAACACAACCACAATACTAAACAAAATAATTACAACTAAAAAGCAAAATTAAAAATTTCATTACATTGTAATTCACAAAGTACTAACAACATCCATTATACTACATATGCAAATTTTAACTTCCACACTAACTTTATAACAAAAAATAAAAATCGTCCGATTACAACATAACAATAAAAATGAAAGTACAAATACACACAAACATCCATTTCTATTACAAAAGATCACAAAAATAAAAGTACAAGTACAAGTACATCCATTACTATCAGATGTCAAAATCCCAAACATGTCTTCGCTCCTTAATCAGCAGGTGGATTGGGCTGATACTGAGTATATCGAGGGCACTCAGGGAAAGTAACATTAGGCTCACCTCTGTAGTGTCGGGCCTGAGCTTTGTAAAAAGCTACCTCAAAATTTGAATGCCTCTGAAGGTACTCACTATCATAATCATGTCAACGTTCTGAACCTCCAATCCTTTCATTTATTAATTCTATACTCTTTTGCTGCAAGGTCAACTCATTCATCAAATCAGTCAGAGTAGGGGAACTAGAAGGTGGAAGGTCATAACTTGTAGAGGGAACAACTCTAATAGTAGAAAGTTCTTGACTCATACTTCCAATTCTCCATTTCTCATGGGATTCATAAGTTTTCAAATTAGCTTTACTAATGGGTTTCATAGGGTAAACCCATTCCTCATCTCCTCCAGCTTCAAGTCCAGAAAGTTGGCAAAGTGCATAAATAAGGCCAGGATGTCCTAGACCTCCACTTGTTTCACTCCTTGTCATAGTCAATATGTTCTTAAAAATAATTCTCCCCACATTTATATTTCTGTTATTCTGAATACAGAAATTCAGAATAGCTCTATCTCTAGTTACCTCACTATGATGATAAGTCGGTAACAAAGTAGAGAAAATAAAATAGTGCCACGCCTTAGAGGTGGCATTCAACATGGAAGCAAAAAAATTTACCCGTTCTCGTTGCTAAATCTTCCATGTTCCTTTTACATCAGTGAGAAAGTTGAACACAACATTCAGGGGGCCTTCCGTAGTACTGAAGGATTCATAATGGTAGCTATAAGAGTCTGGGACTTCGTAAAAGGTGTTAATGCGGGCGACATTGCGGCATTAAATTCAGCAGGGAATCCCCACACTTGAACAATTCCATCTTCAGAATAGAATACGTTGGCATAGAATTCCTTCACAATATTTGCAGCAGCTTTATTGGTAGTGTAACAAAAGTTTTCCCACCTCCGCTCGGTAATAACTCTTTAAATTTCTCCTCCTGGACTCCCAAAAACTCGATCCTGTATGCATTTCTTTCCTTCAAATACTGAAGTAAATCCTGATTGAGCCTTCACATTGACAAAGCGAGACTCGTCGAACTCAAGTCATCTCTTTTGTCGTGGAGCCATTTCAATTTTGTCACAATTATAAAAAATTCCAAAATATACTTCAAATATGCAAATAATGGCTTCCAAAAGTAATTCTAAGAGTTCAACACTAAGTTTCATGAATTTTTTCCTAATATTTTCTTCACATTCTCAAATTTCTTGGATCTCCTTAATGTGAAAGAAATCCATGGTAAAAATCAAATATTTTTAGTTTGGAGTGAAGCTCTTACCAAGAGATGATCAAATCTGTGTCTAAATGTCTAAAAATCGCCTCCCAATCCATGATCTCTCAAGCCCTATGTCAAAAATTGCGTTTTTCAAAGGAAGGGGATGATGAATAGTGGCGGGGGGGGGGGGGGGGGGGAGGGGGGGGGGGAG